GCCGAGGACAGGCCAAAGGAAGAAGGCCATCCCCTTCACCAGCAGCAGCATCACGACGGTGAATTGACCCCTTGGCATTCGCACCACGACCGGGGTCCGCCGTGGTGCGCCCCTCTCTCAGGGGTGCTCCTGATCCTTCTTGCCGCCACCCTTGGAGGCCTTCTTGGCCGCCGCCGACTCCTCGCGAGCCTTGCGGCGCTGCTTCATCACCTCCGTCTCCTTGCTCTTCTTGTCGGTCGCATAGTGCGCGAGCCCAGGGTTGAGCGCGACCCCGCGGCGTAGGCCGCCTGTGGGGTCGCGGCCCACGTAGTGCTCCAGGCCCTCCAGCTGGAGGGCCCCGTTGGTCTCCTCCACCAGCTGGTACAGCCGCGCCAGCACCTCGACACTGGCCAGGTTGCCGCCATCGCACTGGTCATAGCACACAGAGAGATCCAGCGCCAGACCCACGAGATCGTGGATAAGGTAGGCGGTGGAGTCGATGGCGATCTTCTGCTCCGTGGCCCACTTGGTCTGGCGGGCGTCGAACGTGCCGCCGTGATCACGAACGTACTTGAAGAGCCACAGCGCCGACCTCTCGCCCTCAAGCGGGAAGTCCTCCATCGGCTCTGTGCTCATCTTGCTGACAGCGTTGGCAAAGTCACACCAGCGTCGCCCGCCTGGGTCATAGGAGACGGGGGCGAGCACGCGAGCGTCGCCGCCGTCGGCAGCCGAGCCTCCATCCACAACTTTGCTCAGGTAGTCGGGACGACACGCGGCGATCACCTCACCATTGGTCATGCGGTGGAGCGCCAGCTCGCCAAGCACCGCGTCTCCCGTCTCGAGCTCCACAGGGTCGCCACGGCGCACGGAACCGATCGTGACGAGAGACACCCAACGGCCTCCATCGTTCACCAGCTCCACATCCGCGTCGAGGACCTCGGGAGTGCGGGTGCCCCCTACAAGGAGGTCTCCGCCCTCTGGGGGCTCAAGAGGAGGCGGCAGAGCCGGTAGCGGGCGCCCGCGCGCACGCCGGTAGATGCCCTCGTGCAACTCCAACGGCTGCCTCTGCCCCATGGCGTCGGAGAACGCCGTCGGGCCCACGACCTCGCCGCCCTCGGACACGGCGAGCTGGTACCCTTCATTGATCAGGTCGAGGAGCCGCTGCTCGTCCGGGAAGTCACGGAACCTGTAGGTCTTGCCCCTGAGGAAGAACGGGAGGGTGCCGTCAGCAGGCAGGATGGCCGCGCGGCACGGACCCGAGTCGGGATCCCCAGCCATCACATTCTCTATGTACATGTCGCCGTCGGGGGTGTACACCACCCAGTGCTGGGCGTCGACCTGGAACAAAATTTGACGCTCATGCCACACATCATCTTCCGTGTAGAACACGGCCACGTAGCTCCCCACGAGGAGCTCATTGCAGAACTCCTCCTCCACGGCGGCGTGCCCTGTCTCCAGGAGCAGGGCGGCCAGGCCCTGCCAGCGCGGCACGCCCGGGGGAGCCGAGGCCGTCGGGCGCGACTCCCGCAGGGGAGCTCGGCGGCGCCTGGGCTCGGACGCCATCTCGTCGACGACAGGCGCAAAGGCGGCCTCCCAGCACCAGGACGATGTGGCCCACCGCGCCTCCCGCCAGGTGCCACAAGCCCTCCTTCACGTCACCGTCCGCCTCAGGTGGACACTCCGGCACCTTCGGACACGAGCAGGTGCAGGCTGGCGCCTGTGGGCAGCTCACGCCCTCCAGCGGCCCGCTCCAGTTGGTCAGGGCCTCGCCCGCCGCTGCCGCCGCCGCGGCGGCCAAGCTGGCCGCGTCCGCGGCTGAGTAGGCGGCCTGGGCGGCCGCCTCGGCGCCTGCGTGGCCAGCGCCCTGCCAGAGCCCGGCCTGCTGCAGGAAGGTCTGATACACAAGGTCGGCGTGCCTGAGCAGGACTGCGCCCACCACGCCGGCTGCGGCGTGTCGCGGACGCAGCGCCAGGGCCATGCACAGCCCGGGCCCCAGGATGCCCCCCTTCTGTATGAGAGAAAAGCTGCGGAGCGAACAACTCACTTGTACTCTCGAATCCCATGCAGAGCAAACCCAGGAGGAGAAGCAGACAGAGACCCTTCCGAAGACCAGGTTGCTGTAGGAGTGTGCAGGGTAATTATGGATCACTAACCATAGGACACACGGGTACCCTTGAGTTGGCAGGGTCGGCCTATTCATCAAGCTCGACTGTACCAGGAAGCTGGACAAACACAGACACACACACAGACACACAGCAGACACACACAGACACACACACGCACCCACACACGCACCCACACACGCACACAGACGCACACAAACGCACACAGACGCACACAGACGCACACAGACGCACACACACACACGCACACACACACACGCACACACACACACACACACACGCACCAACATACACACACACGTATTCACACACAATCGCACACATTTACACACACGCACACTTTCGGTCAGCGGCGAGGGCGAGCGCACAACGCATTCGGGTAGCTGGCGGGCCGCACTGGGGCTGCAGGCACACACACAGACGACTAACTAGGAGTGCGCAGGTGGCCTCAGGCACCGGAGGATGTTGCACTTGAAGGTGTGCGTCCAGTCCATATCCACACAAGGCTGGATCCACATGTGGAACATCGGGAGGCCACGCGCTGAATACACATGCGAAGCCTGGCCACTAGACGGCCAGAGAGGGGCCGAACGCCTCAAAAACGTCTGGCCACATGGACGACGAGAAGAAACGGGTCTTGCGCAAGCTGGCATAGCGAACTTACGCGGTGGCTTACGCGGGCCGCCGGCATGGCACACGCCGCGGAGCACAGGGCGCTTTCGCGCGGCCTTATAGTCAACTTATAGTGGGACACTTATGCGCGCATCTCCACGCAGTCGACCCCGCTTCTGCGTCGTTCACACGTGTATCCAGCTCTCGCACAAGCCAGCCGCGTCGTGTGTCCAGCTTCCCGATAGCAGAGGAGGGGGGGTAAGGTTAGGTCAGGCGTGTCCCCCTACAGCCGGATTTTGGAAGAAAAATTAAGAATAGTCAAAACATGTTCGGAAACACCAAAAACAATTGCTAAACAAATCGTCCCCTGACTTTTTTTGTCTCACTATTTCTGAATATTCCTCCGGACGTGCCCGACTTCAGGTTAGCGAATCCGCTGCCTGCGGCTGGCCTTCCAGGCGCCTCCCGGCGCCAGAGGCGCTGGTGTGTCGAAGGATACGCCGGCGGCAGGGCCCAACATTCAGTCGGGCCTGTCCCCGTACAGGGGGATTTTGGAGCGAAAAATGAAAGATAGGAAACAAATATCCAAAACTTGCCGAATATTGTGAAATAGTCGTCCCCAGACTATTTGTTGACTATTTTCGAATATCCCCCCTGTAGAGGGACAGGCCCGACTTGACCCAAACCGGCTGCGTGCAGCGCACGCAGCAGATCTCGCCCCACCCTCCCTTGCCCACGTCCCAAGACATCCGGCGTCGCGCTTTTGCTCGCAGCGTGTCTCTTACAGTCGGACTGGATTGGACAGGACACGCGAAAGGACACAAGACCATTCCGAAGTTCCGAGGGCCACATTGCCATAGCAAGGTAGGGGGACATGGGTCGCGATACACAGGACACCAAGGTTCCCTTGATTTGGCAAGGCCGACCTACTAATCCAGGCCGACTGTACAGTGCGGGCGCGGCTGCAAGAGAAACCCTCGCCAGAAACCCAGCCCCGAAAACCCGCGCGCGAGGCGCCCCCGAGAGGACACCCAGAGCACCCTGAACGCAGCCGCTCCTCCAACGGCTGCGGGAAGCCACCGCGCGGCGCGCGGAGCGAAGAAACCCAGGAGACCCTGACGAAAAACATATGGTTTCTTGATGCGCGCCCCCACTGTAAGAGGTCGGGACCATCTTGCCCATGACAAGTTTTTCGCCCCAAGCCCGTTTCTGACTGTCTCGAAGCCCGGCGAGAGCGACAAGGGCCCAGACGATCCGGTCGCGTTTGCTGCGCCAGACGCGAGGAGGTCAGGGCCCCACCCTTTACCAGTCCCTCCCGTTCGCAACCGCCCGTCCCTGAGATCCGACATTGCCAACCGCGCCATCGCTCAGACGTCCACTCCCCGTGCGTTTCCCGGTGTCGTGCGTTTTGTCTTCTTTTCCGCACGGTGATTCAGTCAATCTGCTCCTCGATGGCCCCCGCTGGAAAAATACGCGCGCCCGAGCGAGGCCAAGTTCCCCGAGGCCCGACGTTGCAAACAAAGAATGCAACACCGCGAAACTCGGGGATCTTCTGCCCCAGGTCAATCCAGGCCCGGGTCAGTCAGGCCTTGCCGAACCGTGCAAGATCCTGCAAGATCCTGCGCCCAAACCCAGGTCAATGCGAAAGATCCTGCAAGATCCTGCAGGATCCTGCGCCCAAGCCCGGGTCAATGCAACCCTGGTCCTGCATGATCCTGCAAGATCGGGGGGTTCTGGCTGGCCCCCGTTTGCATTGACCCCTGTCTCAAGGCTCATGGCGAAATGCCACGCCCAGCGCACCAGGCATCATCTCCCTGCGCCCCTTCTCTCGAGCCAGGTCGACCCCTGCGACGCCTGGCGGCAGCGAGCGGTGTGACAAAAAATCGCGCAGCGCCAGGACCGCAGGGCCTCCCTGCCTCCTCCTCCTCCTCCTCCTCCTCCTCCTCCTCCTATTCCTCCTCCTCCTCCCCCTCTTCCTCCTCCTTACTTACTTACCCATCCCATTCGCGCCAGTGCTCCAACACTCCTGACAAGCCATACGACGCTGGGCAACTCTACTCGCTTAGAGCTGATGCTTCCACCTCGGATCCAGCCCTGCTGTCGGCGAACCGATCAATACAGGGGCGGAGCGCCGCCAGCGAGCTGTGGCCCAAGGCAGGGGCCCCGACGCGGAGCCCCCGCCCTCAGCCACAGGGGCCGCGGGCCCAAAGACCAGGGGGGAAACACCAGCCCTAAGCCCCTGCTCGCTGGCGGCCCGCGCGGGCCGCGGGGCCTCGCTCGAGTGCCCTACTTCTTGCCCTGCAAGATCTTGGCCATCTCGCCTCAGGGCGCGCGGCCTGGTTTGCGGGCGCCTCCCCACTCCCTCAGGATGTGGCTCGCGATGCTGTTGAGATTCATGCACTTGGTTCCGCTGGGGATCGGGGTGACCTCGAGCGGATTCCTCTGGAGCTTGGCGTCGAACGCGGGGTCCGTCGCGGCGCTTCCCCAGGCGTCCGCCTGCTCCTTGAGCAGGGTTTCTGCCGACTCTGGAGTCAGTCCGACCAGCAGCTGCCCGAGGAGGGTGACCGTGATCCTCGTCTTTTTTTGATCGTACGTCGGCGAGAACGTGCACTCCTTGACCCACTCGCTGGCTCCTATTCCGTCTGTGTGGGGCAACATCTGCAGCAGCCTCTCGGGGACCCCCTTGAATCTCTTCATGGCTGGGCTTGATGTGCCCTCGTTCAACCAGCTCGCGATGACGGATAGATTCGATCCGAAAATCTGCAGCTCTGGGGGCCCCCTCTCGTGCTGCGGGCCCTCTGCTTTGACTGTGTCTAGGTACTTCTGAAATGTTTTGCGGCCGTCCTCGATCAGTGGGTGATCGTGCGGCAGAAAGATCTGGACGGTCTGCGTGTACTCGAGCTTTCTGACCCTGGCCTCCAACTGCACCGCCAGCCGTCGTGTGAGAACTTCCTCGGACTCCTTGCTCTTGACTTTTTTGCCCGGCGGTTGCGTCGCCCTCTATTGCGGCCCAGACTTCTGGAGGAGCCATGCCATCCAACTCAATCTGGTGCTGCTGAATATATTGGCTGAGGTGGCGATGCAAAATATGTTGGCGCAACTCTTGGGCCTCGTCCGCCACGTGCTCGCACAGCCGACAGTAGGGCGCCACCATTCTCACCTCATTTCCAGATCTTGCACGGTCAACGCACAAGTCTCTCTCGAATGCCCTCAGCATGTGCTTCTGCGCCTGCGCGTGCGTCGTGAACACCGCGCCGCACATCGCACGCGTGTTGCTGAAACGCGCAACTCTGAATAATATTAGTTTGCCGTGCGTGCCACCTTTCGCGTGTGCATAGTGGGGCGCGCCAATCTCGTTATGTCTGGAAATCGCGCTAGACAAGGCCGCCCTCCTTCATCCTCCGCCCAACACTGAAACTCTCCACCCTCGAGGCTCCGTACGTGCTGGGGTTCATGCTCGGCTCGGTGATGTATGTAATGATAAAAAACACGTCCCTCCCCTCTGTGACGGCCCTTACTGGATCATGATCATAGTACTCCAAAAAAACCTCCCCGTCCTCGTTCGTCGCCAAATCCTGGACGTCCTGGAGCCACTTCTGGGCCCACGGGTTGATCTTTGCCTCGGGGTCCTGGAACGACGGCTATTCGATGTCCCCGCACTTGAGGCCCCCGAACACGACCCCCAAAAGCTGATCGGCCGACCCGAGGTCCGCCAGCAAACTGTGCAACCACTTCAGCCTCCGAGTACGGGCCTCCACGAATATGCTCGCCGATCCTAGTCTGGCCAACACCTCCAGATTGCTGGGGGCCCTCTTGGGCCCGTCCTCCCTCGTACGCGCCACTCCTCCCAAGACAGCCCGCCCTCTCCTAGCGACGTAGCCCTCGAGCCCTGCAAAATCCTGCACCTTCATGTGCCCCTGGGGCTCCACAAACGTTTCGATGCCCGAGAGGATCGCGTTGGCGACATACCCCTTATATATATATATGGACATTCTCCATCTCTGAGAAGTTCTAGAAGCCCAGAAATTGCCCATGGAGGCCCGCGCTGCTTTTCCTGCCCGAATACGGTGCCCCATCTCGATCTGTACTGAACATCTCGCTGTCATTCGGACGCCTAGATACCTCGCTGCTGCTGCCGCGTGCCCTTCCAGCACGCAGTCAGACAATCTCATGTTTTCCAAATCATATGCTCCTCTGCCACACCAATACGGTATTGCCTCCGGCTTTGATATATTCTGAGCCAGTCCCATTTCTCTCAGCGCCTCGGATATCACCTTATTTCGTTTATTTCCCTCCGCCTCCGCCTCCACCTGGTTCTTAGAACCGAATGTATATGCGATATCATCCACAAACAAACTCATTCCCGCCTGCTCCTTTTTTCCCGTCCATGGTGAGGTGACCTCCATCAATATTCTCGCTTTCAATGCGTGTTCTTCGAGCCCCCTTATATACGCCACCACAAACAAGAAAACCATAGCTGGATCACCTGGCATACATCCTTCACCAATTAACATGATATTTTCGGTGGAGTCAAAGAACACGAAGTGCGCGCACTGGACTCGATCAATCATCATTGTGACGTGCTCATGCTTCATCAGTTTTCAAAGTAAAGATGCGTTTGCAGCGTCGTGGGGCCTCTTCGCATGCTGCACCCCCGCTGCCTTTAGCCTCCATGCGCCGCGTAGCTGTGCCGCCACGGCGCCCTCGCGCCTGCGGTGCCTGATTGCACCGCGCGCCCAGGATTGTATTTTTGGCGTCCGTACTCATTAGAATATGTCTGTAATAAAATTTCGATGTACTGCATAATCCTAACCACTCTTTCACCATCCACCCCCTCCCTCTCATTGCCCTTGCTGATCTTGGCGGCCTTCGCCCTCGGCCAGTCGAGGGGAAATCTCGCGTGATCATTATCGTCTCGACCATCCTCCTCACGTGCGCATAGACATTGGGCGTGCATAAGTTCTCAATCTCATTCTCGTGTCCAAGGCCAGTGGTCCTGGCCGTCATCCTTTCATTAACCCACCGCGGAAAAACGTACATCTCAATAATTCAACACTCGAACTCCAGATAGGATAACTCCTCCAAAGACGCGCTTTCCAGATTGCTTTCCTTGTGCCCTTCATCTCCTCATTTATCTCCTCGCCCGTGACCTCCTGGCGTACAACTCTTCCCCGTCGTACTTGAATCTCATCCTCCGTCACCTCGGTGGCCGAGCATCCCCCTGCGGGGCCTGGTCGCTTCATCTTCTCAAACCACTCGTCGTTCGTGCCCGGCGCATGATGTCGACCATATACTCGCTTCCTTCCTCCTCTCCCCCTCTGTGCCAGCATTATCGCCATCTTGTGGACCGTGTAGAAGTCGTTCGTCATCACTGCTCTCATGAACTCGTCGCATCGTCGTGTCTCGACTTCTTGCCAATACTTTTGCCTCTGTTGTCGTAGCCATTTGCTAAAACGCGGTATTCTGATCGTCAGCTGCAGCTTGGCCATCTCGCGGTCATAGCTAACCTCGGTTGAAGCGTCGTAAACCTCGTCCTCACCCACTCCACATAGGCACTGGAACTCTGTCCGCAGATTACGCCGTTCCCATGACATACGTCGGGCCTCTCTCGCATGTGCTTTGTGGTCCTCCGTGTAACCTCTGGTCGTCGTACAGAACTTGGTAGCCGCATTCTCGATCGCCTTGTGGATCGTCGAATTCACAAAATCTGGTGCGTCTTCCCACGTCTGCGCCGCAAGTTGTTCTCGCTGCTGATTCAGTTCAGACTCCACATGTTGCACAAAAGCTCGTCGGTTGTCGCCGAGCTGTAGCATCTTCGCATCACTCTCCCTATCCACCTTCACGCGATTGTATTTCATCTCACCATGCGGTTCGGCCACCACGTCCATCTCGAAGCTGGCTGCCAACGGGACGTGGTCCCATATACCGCTGAGGCTGTGGACCTGTAGTCTCCACGCGCTCGCCAGTAATGTCCGACACTATCTGACTGCCATCCACGTCCTCGGAACTATTAGGTAGTCCAGTGTCTTTGTGACTCCTTTGTTGAAGTATGTTGGGCCTCCCCGCGCAAAATGCGTATTGACCACGGCCAACTGGTGTGCCGCGAGCAATGGGGCGACCTGATCTGTCGTGAAGTTGAAGGGCCCCAAATTCTGTGTGCCCGTTACACCTTCGACGTGGCTGAACTGCCCGTTCATGTCTGTGAATATGACAGGTGACCATCTTGCCGAGGTTGCCGCTAGGACATCCGTCAGCCACGTCACCATTGTACGAATAGTTCTCTCCCAAGCTTCTCGTTGAACTCGTCTTCGGCTGGGGCATGGGGGGAGTAAAGTGCGACCAGCAACACTCGAACATAACCTCTTTCCAACGTACATGCTGCCACTCGTCCTCTCAAACCTTTCGGTACTGGTAAAAAGCCTCTTATGCAACACCTAGGATACCGTCGACTATGAGTCCAAATGCTCAATCCACAACTCTTGTTCACATGCTGACTACTGTGCCACCCCCACTCAAGTGCCCAATGTGTTCTGGTGGTGGCGATGGGTTCCAACGTTTCCCCGCTGGTCCTCCTCTGGGTTCCTATGAGGAACACGAAGTCTATGTTGTTCAGCTCCTCGACCACGTCCTGGGAGCGGGTCTTGTTCGCGCTCAACGGGTTATACGCAGAACGGGACTCCGCCCATGGGCCGCCCAGATCCATTGCTGGCCCCAGACAGCTGTGTGCCATGCGTTCCGCACGCTTCAAGAGGTGGCAAGTGGGGGGGGGGCCGTTTCGAGAAGATGGCCACCTTCTTCCTCCTCCCCCTCCTCATCCTCATCCTCCTCCTCCTCCGCCTCCCCCCCTTCTGCTGCTGCTGCTGCTCCTCCTCCTCCTCCTCCTCCTCCTCCTCCCTCCTGCTGTTCCTCCTCCTCCTCCTCCCTCCTCCTCTCTCTCCTCCTCCTCCTCCTCCTCCTCTCCTCCTCCTCCTCCCCCCCCTCCTCCTCCTCCTCCTCCTCCTCCTCCTCCTCCCCTCCCCCTCCCCTCCTACCTCCTCCTCCCCTCCTCCTCCTCCTCCTCCTCCTCCTCCTCCTCCTCCTCCTCCTCCTCCTCCTCCTCCTCCTCGTACTTAAGGACCACGTCGCAAAAATTACGCTACCGAAGAACCTCACATACTGACTTTATGTCTTGTGTGAGCCGCGCTACCACTACCACCGCCGTCACGCTCTCAGGTGCCCCCTGTGGTCGTTGAAAGGAGGGGGAGGACGTGTGGGGGGAGAGGAGGGGTTGAGGAGTCATCTGTGACGGTCATATCCGGCGTCGCCTGGCACTTGGATACGAGAGGTAATACGCAATCCCGCACTAGAGGCTATGCCTGGACGACCCTGGCACGCATAGGGAGACCACCCCCTGCGCACCCCCTCTGGTGTCGAGAAAATGCCACGCCTGCAATGCCTGGACGACCCTGGCACGCATAGGGAGACCACCCCCTGCGCACCCCCTCTGGTGTCGAGAAACTGCCACGCCTGCAATGCCTGGACGACCCTGGCACGCATAGGGAGACCACCCCCTGCGCACCTCCTCTGGTGTCGAGAAAATGCCACGCCTGCAATGCTTGGACGACCCTGGCACTCATATTGCCACCACCCCTTGCGCACCCCCTCCGGTGTCGAGAAAATGCCACGCCTGCTATGCCTGGACGACCCTGGCACGCATAGGGAGACCACCCCCTGCGCACCCCCTCTGGTGTCGAGAAAATGCCACGCCTGCTATGCCTGGACGACCCTGGCACGCATAGGGAGACCACCCCCTGCGCACCCCCTCTGGTGTCGAGAAAATGCCACGCCTGCTATGCCTGGACGACCCTGGCACGCATAGGGAGACCACCCCCTGCGCACCCCCTCTGGTGTCGAGAAAATGCCACGCCTGCTATGCCTGGACGACCCTGGCACGCATAGGGAGACCACCCCCTGCGCACCCCCTCTGGTGTCGAGAAAATGCCACGCCTGCTATGCCTGGACGACCCTGGCGCGACCACCCCCTGCGCACCCCTCTGGTGTCAAGGAATGCCAAGCCTGATACCCCCTGCGTAGGGGACCACACCCCTCTGGTGTCGAGAAAATGCCACGCCTGCTATGCCTGGACGACCCTGGCGCGCATAGGGAGACCACGCCCTGCGCACCCCCTCTGGTGTCGAGAAAATGCCACGCCTGCTATGCCTGGACGACCCTGGCGCGCATAGGGAGACCACCCCCTGCGCACCCCCTCTGGTGTCGAGAAAATGCCACGCCTGCTATGCCTGGACGACCCTGGCGCGCATAGGGAGACCACACCCTGCGCAGAGGGAGACCACACCCTGGACGACCCTGGCGCGCATAGGGAGACCACACCCTATGGTGTCGAGAAAGTGCCACGCCTGCTATGCCTGGACGACCGGCGCGTATAGAAACCGCAGCGAGAGACCACCCCCTGCGCACCCCCTATGGTGTCGAGAAAGTGCCACGCCTGCTATGCCAGGACGACTGGGGCGTATAGAGACCGCAGCGAGAGAACCACCCCCTGCGCACCCCCTCTGGTGTCGAGAAAGTGCCACGCCTGCTATGCCTGGACGACCGGCGCGTATAGCAGCCGCGCTCAGGGACAACCCCCTGCGCACCCCCTATGGTGTCGAGAAAGTGCCACGCCTGCTATGCCTGGACGACCGGCGCGTATAGAGACCGCAGCGAGAGACCACCCCCTGCGCACCCCCTACGGTGTCCAGAAAGTGCCACGCCTGCTGTGCCTGGACGACCGTCGTGCATAGCGGCCGCGCTCAGGGACCACCCCCTGCGCACCCGCTCTGGTGTCGAGAAAAAGCCACGCCTGCTATGCCTGGACGACCGGCGCGTATAGCAGCCGCGCGCTCAGGGACCACCCCCTGCGCACCCCCTCTGGTGTCGAGAAAAAGCCACGCCTGCTATGCCTGGACGACCGTCACGGATAGCGGCCGCGGTGAGAGACCACCCCCTGCGCACCCCTATGGTGTCGAGAATATGCCATGCCTGCTGTGCCCTGGACGACCGTCACGGATAGCGGCCGCGGTGAGAGACCACCCCCTGCGCACCCCTATGGTGTCGAGAATATGCCACTGCGTGGGGTGCCGGGCTTGGCGACGGCCCGCGTATAGAGACCGAAGGCGGAGAGACCACCCTGCGCACCCCCTATTTTTTTTGGCCCGAGAAAGTGCCACGCGTGCTATTGCTTGGACGACCGGGCGCGTATAGAGACCGCAGCGAGAGGACCACCCCCTGCGCACCCCATATGGTGTCGAGAAAGTGCCACGCCCTGTGCTATGCCTGGACGACCGGCGCGTATAGAGACCGCAGCGAGAGACCACCCCCTGCGCACCCCATATGGTGTCGAGAAAGTGCCACGCCTGCTATGCCTGGACGACCGGCGCGTATAGAGACCGCAGCGAGAGACCACCCCCTGCGCACCCCTTTATGGTGTCGAGAAAGTGCCACGCCTGCTATGCCTGGACGACCGGCGCGTATAGAGACCGCAGCGAGAGACCACCCCCTGCGCACCCCCTATGGTGTCGAGAAAGTGCCACGCTTCCTATGCCTGGACGACCGGCGCGTATAGAGACCGCAGCGAGAGACCACCCCCTGCGCACCCCCTATGGTGTCGAGAAAGTGCCACGCCTGCTATGCCTGGACGACCGGCACGTATAGAGACCGCAGCGAGAGACCACCCCCTGCGCACCCCTTATGGTGTCGAGAAAGTGCCACGCCTGCTATGCCTGGACGACCGGCGCGTATAGAGACCGCAGCGATGAGACCACCCCCTGCGCACCCCCTTATGTGTCGAGAAGAAATGTGCCACGCCAGCTATGCCTGGACGACGGCGCGTATAGGAGACCGCAGTGAGAGACCACCCCTGCTCACCCCTTATGGTGTCGCGAAAGTGCCACGCCGATAATGCCTGGACGAACGGCGGTATAAGAGACCGCAGCGACGAGACCACCCCCTGCGCACCCCTTATTGGTGTCGAGAAAGTGCCACGCCTGCTATGCCTGGACGAACGGGACGTATAGAGACCGCCAGCGAGAGTGGAGACCATTTTGCGACACCACCCACTGGTGTCCGAGGGGAAAGTGCCACGCCTGCTATGCCAGGACGACTGGGGCCACGCCTGCTATAGCAGGACGACTGGGGCGTATAGAGACCGCAGCGAGAGACCACCCCCTGCGCACCCCCTATGGTGTCGAGAAAGTGCCACGCCTGCTATGCCAGGACTGGTGTCGTCTTGTGTGTGCGAGTGTGTGCATGCGTGCGGCTGTATGTAGACGCGTGTCGCCGAGACGTGCTGTGCTGTGCTCTGCTGAGCTGTGCTGTGCTGTCCTATGCTGTGCTGCGGTCTGCTGTGCTGTGCTGCGCTGTGCTGAGGAGGAGGAGGAGGAGGAGGAGGAGGAGGAGGAGGAGGAGGAGGAGGAGGAGGAGGAGGAGGAGGAGGAGGAGGAGGAGGAGGAGGAGGAGGAGGGGAGGAGGGCGGGTGTGGGGGAGACGCGGGCGCGGCGCGGCAGGGAAGAAAACCATAACCCCACGAAGCATGTGGGGAATAATTTCGAGCACCCCGAAAAGTATCGAAACAGGGTCTGCCCGGCAAGCTGGCGACTTGCGGGGTCCGACGCCCGAACACCGTCCAGTTTTGATACTCTCTTGGTGCTTGATTGCCTAACAGCTTGTGCTGATCAGTTTCTAGTAAGGTCAAAAAAAAACATCATGACACTCCAGGGGGTCCGGGCGGAAGCCGGCAGAAACCGGGAGAATCCGGCGGAACTCGTTCCGTGCGCGCAGGTGCGCACGGGAGCCACCTCGGCGCCATCGGAAGTGCGTTCCGTGCGTGCAGGTACACGCGGGAATCACGTCGGCGCCGTCGGAGGTGCGTTCCGTGCGTGCAGGTACGCGCGGGAGCCACCTCGGCGCCATCGGAGGTGCGTGCGTTCCGTGCGTGCAGGTACGCGCGGGAACCACCTCGGCGCCGTCGGAAAAGCGCTCTGTGCGCGCAGGTACGCACGGGAACCACCTCGGCGCCATCGGAGGTTTGTTCCGTGGGCGCAGGTGCACACGGGAGCCACCTCGGCGCCATCGGAGGCGCGGCTGAGGCCGAGGCAAGCTGAGGCTGAGGCTGAGGCTGATGCCGAGGCAGGCTGATGCTGATGCAGGCTGAGGCCGCAGGACTATGCGGGAGCGCAGCAGGCTGAGGCCGAGGCAGGCTGAGGCTGAGGCTGAGGCTGAGGCTGATGCAAGCTGAGGCCGCGGCAGGCTGAGGCCGAAGGGGTATGCGGGAACGCAGCAGGCTGACACTGACGCAGGCTGAGGCTGAGACTGATGCTGATGCAGGCTGAGGCTGAGGCAGGCTGAGCTGACTTGTCCTGCGGAGCTCCAGTGTCGCAGAAGATGCATCTGCAGCTTCCTCGTCGCATTAGGGGCTCCAGCGTCACCGAATTTGTCCTTTTACCGTCGCTGTCGTGCCGCGGGGCGCTTCAGCGGGCAATCGTGCGCATGAAGTGCGCCACGCGCCTGCGCGCTCACGAAGAGGGCCAGGGCGCCCTGTCGCCTGCGGGCGACCGCGCGGGCTTGCCCCCGCAACAGCCAAAAAGGGCATGCCCACACGCCGGGTAAAGCCTAAAAGGGTTTTCGTCTGCCTGTTCCTTGCCTCCCGCTCTCCTCCTTCTTCTTTCATCGACGTCTTCATTCTTCTTTCCATTGATACTCGTGTCTCGTTTGGGGCGGAAACCATTGATAGCAGCGTCTCTTTTGCACCTACACCCCTGCATAGCAGCGTCTCGTTTGGAATGAGCACAAAAATAATGTGCTGTCTCGTTGATAGTAGTGCCTCCTTTGCAGACACGTCCACTATTGATCGCAGCGTTTCGCTTCCAGTCAAATCCGAACATGAATCTAAAGAAGAATGCTTCCATATATGCTCATACACATGGCTGTTAGGTTGCTTTGCTGGGGTATATTTTTTTCTTACAGTCAAGGCTAACTAGGTTGGAACATCGAACTCCCAATTTCCCCCCGCTCGTCCGCCCCGAAATGGTGGACGCAACCGCGGAGGCGGCGATGGCGAACAGAGGCCAACGGCTGCGCAGCACGTCCATCGGGCCTATGTCAGGGTCCAGCCCCGCCGCCAGGAGCAGGTCCTGGGGAAATCAGGGCGATGCCCCGATACCGCCACTCCCCAGACCTCTCCCAAGATGCGTTCTTAGATGCCTCCCAGATGGGGTCCGAGCAGATGGGGTCGGCGGATCGCTCCATATCGCAGATGCAGAACGATGCATCGGCGATGCATCGGCGACGCGGGCGTGGAGAAAATCGGGCTCCACATCGAGCCGCATCGCCGATATGGCGCCTATCCTCCAATCCCACCCACTCCGACCTCATCTAGGAGGCATAGAACTCTATCCAACATTTCGAGGCGAACCTGGTGAGGCATGGGGTTGCGCACAAGCAGGTCCAGCAATGGAGTCTCAACTGGCCTCAGGAGGCCCCCCTAGTAGTCCGGGACAGCCTCAGCACCCCGGCGCCGCCTTCGGCGGCGCCCCGGCGTTGAGCCCGAAGCATTACCAGGCGAATCCGGCCATGTCCACGAGGAGGGACGGAGTAGTCGGAGGAAGAAAGAGCGGCATGAACATCCGCTGTCGGAGGTCCGCGCGGATTTCTCGCATCGGCGCTGGACCCCCTCCGGGGCGGCGCCAGAGGCGCCGCCAGGGGGGCCCAGCGCCGATCCAAGATATCCGCGCGAAGCTCCGACGAGGGACGGGTGGCGGCGCAGCCATTCGACGTTGTGCTTCTGTCGAGCACCGGTCGGACCGACCCCTGTTCCCGCCGGCGTGGCCTGGGCCCCACTGGCCGACTTACCCACCTAGATGGGGACATGGGCCATTTCCTTCGGGTTTCGAGGTGTGCATCCCCAACTGGGGTGCTGAGACGGTGGGGGTCTGGATAATAGGGATAGGGATGGGGTGCAGTCGGACCGAGGTATGAGATCGAGGTCCGTTCGGGGAGGGTACCCTGATGCTCTTCGTGCTCTTGAGGGATGCTCCTGCGCAGCCCGGGAAAGGTGCCCCTGGCTGTTCTGCGCGTTGTGGCTGGCAGAGGGCCTCGTGCTCGAGGGATGCTCTTCTGTCCTAGATCCGACTGTGAAGCGACACTCAGGGAAACGAAAAATGGCATAAACATAAAAACTCGGAGGTCCGCGCGAATTTCTCGGATCCGCGCTGGACCCCCCTCCCTGGTGCGCGGATCGGCATCGCTCCCTAAATACTGGGAAGCGGTGTCGGCAGCGCTCCCTCCGCGGAGGTCCTCCTCCATCTCCTGCGGGTGACAGGCCGCCGCGCCCGCCGCGGGGAGCGTGCACCGCAACAGCCGCAGCGCGGCGCCGGCCAGCCGGCAGTGAAAGACGGGCCGGGTGCTGCCAGGCGCTCGGCCACACGCAGTGCGGGGACAGCAGGCGACCACAGCCACATCGATAATGCGACGAAGCTGGGACAAGGACAACATCGGGTAAGGATGAATCGAGAATCTCTGGGATCTAACAGCTCTGGGGGATGTCTCGGGCGCCGCCGCGGCCTCAGAGTGAACCGGAACGCTCTACGAGCGTTCTCGAACGATCTGGAACGGATTTATCCTCGTCCTAGCCCCGTCCGAGATAACGTGCCCTGGAGGATGTTTTGCGCATGCCAGCAGGCGTCAAAACACCGAAACCAGCTCAGTACTGGTTGTGGTCGATGTGGGCGTCCCAGACGGCCAAATCGACCACAAACACAACCACCAAAGTCTGCTTGCCGAGGTCAGTCGGCTCTTTCCCGAGGGGCCCTCCCGAATCATCCACCATTAGTTGTGGTTGTGGTTCTGTGTTGTGCGTGGGCGCAGGAGCGGCCCTGGGCAAGAGTGACCTTTGGTGCGCGGCGTTGCGTGGTGCGCGGGGGGCCAAACGCGAGCGCGCAACCTGCTGCCGTCGGATCGCATTCAGCCACCGGAGGACCCCACAGGCCTGCACCCAAAGGTTTAGGTCGGGCATGCCCTCTTAGAAGGCGGATTTTGGACGAAGAATAGAAAATAGCCAAATAATTTTTAAGTTAAAAAATATTCGGGAAATCGTCCCCGAACTATTTTTCCCCACATGCTTCGTGGGGTTATGGTTTTCTTCCCTTCCGCGTCTCACCCGCGTCTCCTCCTTCTCCTTCTCCTTCTCCTTCTCCTCCCTCTCCTTCTCCTTCTTTCTGACCTCGCGCACATCACAGCACGCACGCACGGCAGGCGCGCACATGAGACACGCGTAGCACACTTCACAACACAGCGCAGCGCAGCACAACACAGCGCTGCTCAGCACAGCTCAGCTCGGCACAGCACAGGAGTGACACTTTCTCGACACCAGCGAGGGTGCGCAGGGGGTGGTCTCTCACCGCGGCGTCTATGCGTGCCAGGGTCGGAGAGCGTGGCAGGCGTGGCACTTTCTCGACACCAGGGGGTGTGCGCAGGGGGTGGTCTCTCACCGCGGCGTCTATGCGTGCCAGGGTCGGAGAGCGTGACAGGCGTGACACTTTCTCGACACCAGAGGTGGTGCGCACGGGGGTGGTGTCTCACCGCGGCCCTTATGCGTGCCAGGGTCGGAGAGCGTTGCAGGCGTGGCACTTTCTCGACACCAGAGGGGGTGCGCAGCGGGTGGTCCCTGAGCTCGCCCGCTATCCAGGACACTGGCGCAAAGCCTAGCAGGCGTGGCAGTTTCACGACACAGTAGGGGGTGCGCAGGGGGTGGTGGTCCCTGAGCTCGCCCGCTATCCACGACACTGTCGCGAAGCCTAGCAGGCGTGGCAGTTTCACGACACCGTAGGGGGTGCGCAGGGGGTGGTCCCTGAGCGCGGCCGCTATCCACGACACTGTCGCAAAGCCTAGCAGGCGTGGCAGTTTCACGACACCGAACGGGGTGCGCAGGGGGTGGTCCCTGAGCTTGCCCGCTGTCCACGACAGTGTCGCAAAGCCTAGCAGGCGTGGCACTTTCTCGACACCAGAAGGGGGTGCGCAGCGGGTGGTCCCTGAACGCGGCCGCTATCCACGACACTGTCGCAAAGCCTAGCAGGCGTGGCAGTTTCACGACACCGAGCGGGGTGCGCAGGGGGTGGTGCCTGAGCTTGCCCGCTGTCCACGACAGTGTCGCAAAACCTTTTTCAGCAGGCGTGGCTGTTATGTTTGGCACTTTTCTCCGACACCAGGAAGGGGGTGCGCAGCGGAGGTCATTGAGCTCGCACGCTATCACGACACTGTCGCAGCGCCTAGCAGGGATTAGGGCTTTTTCGGACACCAGAGGGGTAGTGCGCGGGGGGGTGATCCTTGGAGTCGCCCGCCTATTCCACGACACTCCGCAAAGGGGGGGGCCTAGCTGGCGCCGGCACTTTTCTCGACAAGCCGTAGGAGGCGTGCGAGGGGGTGGGTCCCTTAGAGCGCGGCCGCGTATCCACGAAACTGTCGCAAAACCTAGCAGGCGTGGCAAGTTTCACGACTCCGTAGGGGCTGTGGCAGGGGGTGGTCCTGAAGCGCGGCCGCTATTCCACGAACACTGGCGCAAAGCCTAGATGCGTGGCACTTTCGACAACCAGAGGGCTCGCTTTAGAGTGTGGTTCCCTGAGCGCGGCCGCTATCCACGACACTGTCGCAAAGCCCAGCAGGCGTGGCATTTTCTCGACACCAGAGGGGGTGCGCAGGGGGTGGTCCCTGAGCTTGCCCGCTATCCACGACACTGGCGCAAAACCTAGCAACCGTGGCACTTTCTCGACACCAGAAGGGGTGCGCAGGGGGTGGTCCCTGAGCTCGCCCGCTATCCACGACACGGTCGCAAAGCCTAGGGGGCGTGGCAGTTTCACGACACCGTAGGGGGTGGGGTGCGCAGGGGATGGTCCCTGAGCGCGGCCGTTATCCACGACACTGTCGCAAAGCCTAGCAAGCGTGGCACTTGCTCGACACCGAACGGGGTGCGCAGGGGGTGGTCCCTGAGCTCGCCCGCTATCCACGACACTGGCGCAAAGCCTAGAGGCTCGTGGCACTTTCCTCTCGACAACAGCGGAGGTGCGGCGGGGGTGGTCCAAGACGCTCGCCCGTATCCACGACACTGTCGCAAATACCAGCAGGCGTGTGGCACTTTCTCGACACCAGAAGGGGTGCGCAGGGGGTGGTCCCTGAGCGCGGCCGCTATCCACGACACTGTCGCAAAACCTAGCAGGCGTGGCAGTTTCACGACACCGAACGGGGTGCGCAAGGGGGTGGTCCCTGAGCGCGGCCGCTATCCACGACACTGTCGCAAAGCCTAGCAGGCGTGGCACTTTCTCGACACCAAAGGGGGTGCGCAGGGGGTGGTCCCTGAGCTCGCCCGCTATCCACGACACTGTCGCAAAGCCGAGCAGGCGTGGCACTTTCTCGACACCAGAGGGGTTGCGCAGGGGGTGGTCCCTGAGATCGCCCGCTATCCACGACACTGCCGCAAAGCCTAGCAGGCGTGGCACTTTCTCGACACCGGAGGGGGTGCGCAAGGGGTGGTCCTTGAGCTCGCCAGCTACCCACGACACTGTCGCAAAGCCTAGCAAGCGTGGCAGTTTCACGACACCGTAGGGGGTGCGCAGGGGGTGGTCCCTGGAGCCGGCCGATATCACGACACGTCGCAAAAGCCTAGCAGGCGTGGCAACTTTCTCGACACCAGAGGGGGTGCGCAGGGGGTGGTCCCTGAGCTCGCCGCTATCCACGACACTGGCGCAAAGCCTAGCAGGCGTGGCACTTTCTCGACACCAGAGGGGGTGCGCAGGGGGTGGTCCCTGAGCTCGCCCGCTATCCACGACACTGTCGCAACGCCTAGCAGGCGTGGCAGTTTCACGACACCGTAGGGGGTGCACAAAGGGTGGTCCCTGAGCTCGCCCGCTATCCACGACACTGTCGCAAAGCCGAGCAGGCGTGGCACTTTCTCGACACCAGACGGGGTGCGCACGGGGGTGGTCTTTCAGCGCGGTTTCTATACGCGCCAATGTCGCAGAGCTTAGCAGGCGTGGCACTTTCTCGACCCCAGAAGGGGTGCGCAGCGGGTGGTCTCTCACCAGGGTGGTCCCTCACCGCGGCCGCTATGCACGACGGTCGTCCAGGGCATAGCAGGCGCGGCATTTTCTCGACACCATAAAAGGCTGCGCAGGGGGTGGTCCCTCACCGCGGCCGCCATGCACGACGGTCGTCCAGGGCATAGCACCCGTGGCCCTTTCTCGACACCATAGAGGGTGCGCAACGGGTGGTCCCTCACCGCGGCCGCTGGCTGACTCGAATCTGTCCTCGATGGAGGATAGAACGCTAGGAAGAGGGAGGAGGTTCAAGCAATATGGCGTTGGATGACACAGAGGGGAACATTCGCGACGAGGGCTGAGAACGCAGAGTTGTGCATATATGATAAACTTAAGCAAGCACACGAAATTTAAATTAAGTATGTGGGGTTCCTCGGTAGCGTAATTTCAATATTACCTAGCAGCTTTTGCTGATAGGTTTCTAGTAGGGTCAAAAGAGAGCATCTGGACTCCACAGGGGGGTCTGGGCGGGTGCCGGGGAGGAGAACCGGGAATCGTTTTTCGCCAACAGTCACACACTTCGTGCTCTTCGACCTCCCAGAACTCCATTCCCGGGCCACATTCTGGAGAACCGGGAACAGAGCCGGGCTCGCTTTTCGCCAACAGTCACACACTTCGTGCTCTTCGACCTCCCAGAACTCCATTCCCGGGCCACACTCTGGAGAACCGGGAACAGAGCCGGGCTCGTTTTTCGTCAACAGTCACACACTTCGTGCTCTTCGACCTCCCAGAACTCCATTCCCGGGCTACATTTTGAGTGCCCGGAGCCAACTGTAGGCCACTTCGTGCTCTTCGAGTTCCCAGAACTCCATTCCCGGGCCACATTTTGGATGCCCGGAGCCAACTGTAGGCCACTTCGTGCTCTTCGATTTCCCAGAACTCCATTCCCGGGCCACATTTTGGATGCCCGGAGCCAACTGTAGGCCACTTCGTGCTCTTCAAGTTCCCAGAACTCCATTCCTGGGCATGATTTTGAATGCCCGGAGCCAACTGTAGGCCACTTCGTGTTCTTCTAGTTCCCAGAACTCCATTCCTGGGCCACATTTTGAATGCTGAGGCAGGCTGATGCTGCGGCCGAGGCAGGCTGAGGCTGAGGCAGGCTGAGGCTGAGGCCGAGGCTGAAGGCAGACTGAGGCTGAGGCTGAAGCAGACTGAGGCTGAGGCTGAGGCAGGCTGAGGCTGAGGCTGAAGCAGGCTGAGGCTGAGGCAGGCTGAGGCTGAGGCTGAGGCTGAATGCAGGCTGAGGCTGAGGCAGGCTGAGGCTGAGGCCGAGGCTGAAGGCAGACTGAGGCTGAGGCTGAAGCAGGCTGAGTGAGGC